ACAAGAAGAAGAACCCTAACTTTAGATATTTTTAAATTATTGGATCCCTCTTTTTAACCATTATTGTACACTATTTTTAGTATTATGACGATTGTATTGAAAATTTCTGTTTTCCTTGTCTAGACTTAGTAGTAGTAGGTCCACCACAGCTGTACAGTTGCACACTTTTAAAACCTACTTATCAAATAAATGTATGTATGCGGAGCATTTCGTACATACCTTTTTTGTATTTGTGGTCCTTTCTTCTTTCATCTGTGGCTGCTGATTCACAACAACAAGCTTAAACACCGCCAGGCAAACAACAAAATTAATCTGAACCACCGAACATCACGGGCAAACCGGAAATGTTGAACTTGACGCATGCGCATACGTTTTGCCGCGGTGTTGTTGAGACCACATGACACCAATGCAAAAACGCACACAATTGGTTAAAAAGTGAAAGCCCGTGAAAGGGTTTTTTCCCTAATAATCAGAATATCGCGAGTTCCGGGAATAGTACCTTTGACCACTGAAAATTACAGAGAAAGAGGCTCCTCTTTACGTATATTTACGTATATGGCAGAAAGTGAAGACGACAGTCGAAGTTTTCAGGTAATGCATTTGCAATCATTTTCAAGTTGTGGAGTTGTTTTCATAAAAACGTTGCTGCAATTCAAACAGTGGAATCCATTAGCTTTACGTTTAAGTTAATAGATAGGACGTTGTATTCAGAATTTATACTTGCTATCAGTGAGCGGCCGAGGAAGTAAATCGTAGTATACTGTTCGCTCTGGTTAACAGTATTACAACGCAGCACATGCCATAAGGAAGTTGTTTGTTTACAAAATCTTGCACTGTTCGTAGAACATAAAATTCTTGTCCCAGTTTTAGCCGTTGTACTGACACACAACTCAAGTCTTATTTCCTTCGAACGCTTAGATTATACACAGTTTATAACCTAACTATCTTCAGCCAACTTCGGATTATCATAGTAGCAGAAACATTGTCATCCTTCACAAAGAAGGAGCTAATTTAGTACTGTACTGTCAGCGGAAGCAAATAATCAACGTGGCAATTTAGAGCGGTCGTGAAACTAAAACTGGAGTAGTCACTCTGGCCAATTATAAAGGATGCAGACAACCCTATGAACCAATCAAAACTTGAAGTAAATACTTGTTGCTGGTGGGAAGCAAGGAAAAGGTGTGCGACTGAGTCGCAATTGGTTATGGGTTTATTTCTGATTGGTTGACAAAGTGGCACAAGATTTTTAAGCCAATCATGTAGAGCATAGTTAATGCAAAAACAAAGCAAATGCAAACTACTTTTGACACTCAATTAGTGAAAACTGCTTTAAATTTGAAGGTGAAATACATGTACAAGTGTATTTCTAAATTGGCAAATGATAAACTTAGGAGTTAGACTATGGAACATCACAGGTGACCTTTGAAGCATACTGTTCAAGGTTGTATGAAGTTCAGGCAGCTGTTCTAGACTATAAAACTGTCCATAGATAATTTTGAAAATCCATCAAAAACTCGGAAAGTAAACTATCCCAGTTTCTTTGAGTTAATAATGGTAATAGGACTGAGTGGAGTCCAATTTGGTCTGTAATCACACCAGTGATTAACAAAATCGGACAACCGCGAAGCGGGAGTCCAGTTTGTTAATCATGAGTGTGTTTACAGACTGAATTGGACGACACGATGGTCTGTTACCAATTAATCAAAACTATGACAAAATTCGAGAAACGAACAAACCATCGATTGATTACTGAACGATTAAAGGTCGTTATGAATGCTGAAAAACAGCAGTTTACTCAACAAAGTGCACCGTAACAACACGCGCAAAATTACGTGTGCTGTCCAATTACAAGCATGACGCGTACACTGTCCAATTAATGCTCAAATCAGGCTGCTGATAGCCAATCATGTTCGAGAATTTTGTTATAGTTTTGATTACTACAGATATTACTTGGCTAATTTTGAAGAATGGCTCCCATTTTAAGCTGTTGGTTACTTCCTGAGTAACTGCCAGTGGGTATAGTACCAACAGTTTACCAACACTCGGACAACAGTAAACCAACAATGTGAGGGTGCCACTTAATATGCACAGTATATTTAATTAACCATATTGGATCATGTGTACTAAAGCATTGGTGGTCGAGTGTCGCTTGATTCCTTTGATCGACCCTCCATCAACACTTGATTGACATCTCGATTGACATTTGATTAATATCTCGATTGATGCTTGGCAGACAATTTGTTGACAATCGATGAACATCTCAATCAATACTTGATTGACAGTCAGTTGATAGTCGGTGGAGTGTTGACCAACTCATATGTATCGATTGAGACTCAAAGGCCAGCATGTCTGCAAAAATTAGTCAACTCTCAACCAAGATGTCGATCAAGTGTCAACTGAGTGTAAACCAAGGTGTCGATCGAGGGTATTGATCATTTCTCGACCGCAGATGCCTTTAGCGCACACAAACCAGCTAATTCCAGTATCAGTTGGCAATATGCTAGCCTGTGAATGCAGACGTATTTCTGGCTNGAGTGCTCCTCGCAGCGAATACCTTGCGCAGTAGTTCTGGGGCTACTTGAGCTAAACTGTGATTGGCTTAAAATCCCAACGCCACAGAAATCATTTCCTGGCTCGGGTTCGCAGACGTTATTTTCGGCGGAGACAAGCAACAGGTGGAAATACGTCTGTGTTCGCAGGCTAGCAATATGCCATACCAAAATTAATCCAGCTTAGTTGGAAATAAAAGTGCAATATTACTTTTTGTGCTGTCAATGGCGTTGTATTATTTGGGTTATAGTGTTTTATTGCGTTTTTTAACTCTTTTGTAGTTGAAGAGCAAGTTTTTACACAAATTAAGAAGACATCATGTGAGCTGCACCAGTTTGCTGTTTTAACAAATAATTTGAAAGGAAAGTTCAGTTAAAAGTAACCAGCTTCTCTTATTTTATCCAGAAAGTTTTTACTCTGTTGTCATAAAAGACTGACAGGTGGCTTTCTGAGGAGTTTGGCTTATCTAAACCAAATATGGCCGACGAGAACTTTTCAAGACAACAAAACTCCCTTCCAGGCGATGACATTAATAACAGAATTATTCAGGAAGATGGTTTCTCTGGCACAGTTATTGATGCACTACAGGATGTTTCAACATCTGGTCCAGATGCACAAGATTTGGTGTGGAACAGACGTTCACCTGTTTCACACAATACAATGGATGGACCCCACACTCGACAGTTACCACAGGGTATTAATAACCCTGTTGCAAGATCAAGACAGTCTCATTTTCAGGCTTCGGTAAATCATGATACATCTTACGGCAACCCTCAGGTCACCACTCCTTTGCAAAGTAAGTGATACACTGCTTGTAATAATTGCCTCTAAAAGCACTTTAATTTAGGAGTGTTTCAAATTTAGAGGATAAAGTTTTGAGTGACTTTCTTGAAAACTGCAACCTGAATGTTCACTTGAAACAAGGCTAACGCCCTCAAATGCTATTCTTGGGTAATAAAACTAATATGTAGCGACATGTTTATGTCTTTGCATCTATGTTTTTGTGATCAATGAAAGAGAAGGGATAAACCTCAAACATATAGAAACCACAACAATATGTTCATCTGATTTTTAGAAAAAGATAACAAAATCAGTCATCTACTCTAATGATAAAGCTTAATAAACTTTTGGTCAACCCTGCTTCAAAAGATCTGTTGTCTTTTCTGCTCTACTAGTACTGTACTTCAGAATATATTGAGCAATTAAAAATAATGTACAATCTACAATTGCTGCAGGACATTCAAACCTTCCATCAGAGCAGTCAACTCAGGAAGGAGAACGTACTGTGCATATAACTATTAGGAGAAGACAGGTCCCTCTGGAAGGTGCGGAAAGATTTACTGATCTCAGAGAAGAAGAAAAAGAAGCTGAAATAAGAGAAAGAAGAGCTGCTATAGTAGAAGAATATCTGGCTGTTAATGAGTCGGACATTTCTCGACAGAACTTACTGGATTTGTGTGCACTACTTGTGAATGCTGATGTAGATATTGAGAGGAAATATGTAGAACTTGATGTAAGGAGAGTGTTTGAAGCAAACAAGGTTAGTCTGGTGTTTAAAGCTTTATTCTATCATCACAATTATTCAACTCTTTAACTTCTAAAGTAAGCACAGCTACATTTTCCTGTGATAATAATTTTTTATATGAAAGTGAGATTAGTTTAAGTCGACTAAGTTCAAGTCTAAAGATGAATCCCTCTGATGATCGAGTCCATGTTGAATGATGACCCCCTTGCATTACTTGACATAGTATAAGATATAGTTTGAATCATTGTAGCTCAAGTGTCCTTTGGACACCAGAATTTATTCCAAAGTGATTAGGAGTATTTTTACCTTCCCCCTGGTTCAGATTGTAGTCAATTGCAGCACTCAGAGGATGTCAAAATGTGGTTAAAACATTAGTGACACACTCGGCTATCGTCTTATGTGCCACCTTTTTGTTCTTCCCACATTCTGACATCATCAGTGATCATCAAGTTACTGAACAGACTCATGGCAACATGAAATCTATTTGTTAATTAGAATCTCTAATTTAAGCTCAGTTTCCTCAACATCCCGAGAATGATATAAATATGATCACCATCACAGAACAGTGCATTTATTCTTTAATTCTTGAATTTTTAAATTACTTAAAATTTTAATATTGTCTAACTAGTTATAAATGTGGCAATTTTAGGAGAAATCTAGGTTCCTCCATCTAACACAAGGCTTAGGTATCTTGGAAAAGTATGCCTCCAATCTAATAAAAGAAAACCGCCCTCCATACTGGCGGACCGTGAAGTTTACCAGTTCCCTTGTCCAAGCTCATGTTGGCAGACTGATAGGCAGCCGTGACATTCTATCACAAATGGGTTACACCCAAGACATTGCAGATGGTGTTGCCTTCCCTGGCAATGTTCCTGAGCCTAATGTTACTAAACTGAAAGATCTGGCACCAGATTTGTTCTTTGCTAGATATGAAATTGACACACTACTTGTAAACAAACATCCTCTTTATGAAATGGACCCACCAGTACCTCAGGAGGAAGTGGACCTTCCAAGGCTCTTCAGGTCAAACTATCCACCATCAAGACCCTTGCCTTTTCCACATAGAGCATCTAGGCCTCCACACCCTGTTGCAGCCACCACAGGGCTGAGTCAACCACCTCCGACTGGCCCAGGTTATTCAAGGTTTTCCCCAAGACCATCACCAAGGAGGCAAGGGGGGAAGGAGCCCATTGAACCATCAGGGGTACAGGTAACTACTTGAACTGACCTAAGTTGTAAAGAAAGTGTGATGATCTTATAAACTGTGCATAGAAGAATAAGAGATGAAGAAAACAATCCGGTCTCATTGGGGATATCATACTGATATCATACATATATAAATACATACATATATACATACATACCTACATACATACATACCTACCTACCTACCTACCTACCTACCTACCTACCTACCTACCTACCTACCTACCTACCTACCTACCTACCTACCTACCTACCTAC